CACCAGATGTTATTTGGGTTTTCTGTGGTTTATCAAAGAGTCACAACAATTCCCATCTATCTAATCACACCGAGTCCTTTCTCAGGCTTTCAGAATAACATTCTCTCTGCTCGCCTAGAAAACAACTTGTCAGCATAGCAAAGATACTTTATACAAAGAAACAAGATGGAACCTCTCTGGCTCATCTCTTAATTACAAAACCCATATGCCTGAAAAGATTTTAACTCAAAAACCCATCTCATCACAATGGTTACTCCCCCCCTGCCCCTCCAGTCTACCTTGGTGCTGGATGGCATAACTGGGCGGGCAGATGAGAGCCGAGGGGGACCTCCCTCCCCGGTAATCCATGTCTCGGTTATGCATGCCAGGTCTGTGTCCTCCTCCAGGATAAGGTCGTAAATCACCTGGGCCTTGTTGGACACAGACCTGGCATTCAACAGCACCAACTTTAGAATGGTGCTCTTGCTACACTCCATCCTTCTTCAAAATTGCTTTTGTATTTTTAAGTGGTTCAGATATGCAGATCCAACGATGTTTTTGGCTGCATTTTGAAGAACTGGCTTCTATGTCTTTGGGATCATTCAGACAAGCACAGGATGACCCATCTCCGATGACATCCAACCTACAAACCAAAATGTAGTCAATGGAGCTCAGTTACTTGGAATTGGGAAACGCACACGCGCGCGCACACACACACACACACACACAGAGAGAGAGAGAGAGAGAGAGAGAGAGAGAGAGAGAGAGAGAGAGAGAGAGAAAGAGGAATAAAGTGCCATCCCTGCTATATTTCTTATATACCTGTTGGTGAACTGTTTATACTGAATAATGGATTCCTACCAATTTATCCTAGAAATATTGAAGTGAAGTGCCTCGTTTCTTCTAGCTAAATGGGGACTTTAAAATATCATATGCTGAAATATTTATTTTATATACATTTATCCTAAAATACATTTATCTCAGCATTTACTTCTGTCATACTATTGTAGCACCACTGAGAGTGTCCTAACCTATGGCATTCTGGCATGGTTTGGGAGTAGCTCTGTAGTGGAAAAAAAGCTCTACAGAGAACCATTAAAATTGCCCAGAATATCATCGGGCTCCAGCTACCAACCCTGGATGACATCTTCACATCTCGCTGTCTAAGGAAGTCACACAGCATCCTGAGAGACTCTTTCCATCCTGCTTATAACTTTTTTGAACTGTTGCCGTCTGGCAGAAGATATAGAACAATTAAGACTCGGACCACACGTTTTCTGAATAGTTTTTATCCCAGAGCTATAATTGCACTTAATA